TGTACATCAGAAAATGCGCCTTGAGGCATGGAACATATGTACCAAATATGCCGAAGATGTCTAGAAAATTATCTCAGTTATTATTAAAAAACTGATTATTTTTGAAAACTTTGCCACCCTGTATCTCAAAAGTTAAGGCGTTTAGAACATACGTCCATAGGAAGTTTTTTTCTTAAAATGGGTCTAAGAATGACCTCCTTAAATATTAGCATGTGTTTAAGGAACACCCTGTATATTGACGTGTTAGATTATTGAATATCTCAAATACTAATGACAGACTGTCTGAATGTCAACATGGATTCACAAAAAATAGAAGCACCAACACTGCCTAATGCCAGTTAATTAATGAAGTCTCAAAAGCACTCAACAAAAAACTCGCAGCGCTAGGGCTGTTCATAGATTTTTCTAAGGCGTTTGATTGTGTGAATCATGACATCCTCCTATATAAATTAAAAAGATATGGCATCAGAGGTATTGCACTAAAGTGGTTTGTCTCATACCTAAGTGCTAGATATCAACAGGCTAAATGTGACAATTTCGTTTCAAAATCAAGTCTCATAGACATTGGCGTCCCTCAAGGCTCAATTTTGGGACCCACCTTGTTTTTGATTTATGTAAACCTGTAAATGTGAAAATCTAACAATAAAGAGTTACTTGGATAGCAAAACTTGTTATATGTGTCTGAAAAGTTTTGAGATAGGTTTGGATTTGTTAGGTTAGAAAAAAAAAATACTCACGACCCCTCTATCGTCTGCGAGCAACCACTGGACGATGCACTCGGAATTCTTCTCCCAGAAGTAGACGAAGCCGCAATCAGATCCGCTGACGATGAACTCTGATCTGGGTCCGAAGAAATTCACCCCCTTTATGGTGGCGCTGTTCCTGTGCCCTTGGTACTGATGCAGGGAGTCGCCCGGTTCGCAGTTCACGTCGAACAAGTATATATCGTCGTCATTGTACGAGGCGAGGATTTCGGATCCGTCGTGATTGTACACGGCGCAGGTTACGTGGCATTCGGAAACCCTTTTGCGCAGCGCCTACAACTGAAAGCGTGCAACAAAAAATCGGGCGTTTTCCAACGATTAATCTTACTCTGTTCTTGAAGGGATGGTATGTGGCCAGAGGGCTGGAGCTGTTCCTTCGATCGTAGGTCCTCACTATTTCGTCTCTGCCGCTGACGCAGAACTCCATGGTCTTCAGCGGGTGGCCATGTATACTGTACAATGGCACTTCCAGTTCATCGTCTTGGACACTGACTATCCTAATGAAACATCAGAAAACCAGATAATTTATTATCCTGATGATACCCATACCAAAACTATGTTTATTGTCTTAATAATAATAATAAACGCTGTTAATTGAATTAACATTTCAATTTTGTTGAACAGAGTGCTGTTTCCTTTTATCAAAATTTGTTAAAATAATATCGGCTGAAATATTTCAATACTAACCAAGTAGGCTATTATGCAAAGACCTTCTCCTTCGATAAAAAAAAATTGAGGTTATGTTACATTACGATGACAAACTATCATTGTTTCTGAGTTACAGTATGTTTTTCGAGAGTGTGCATTTTTGAAAAGTTGCTGTAATTTTTTTCCTGTCAAAAATGTCTTGTTTCTACGAAAACATTTCCAGGGCATTTTATTACGTAGAATTCAATGGTGTAAAACATTTTTTTTTCCGATGAGATATCAATAGTTATTGATGAAAAATATTTTTTTTAATGATCCAACTAGATCCAAATCTTCCTCGACTTATCTGCTCCACAATAGAATGAGGATTTTGTTGTGCCCAAGTATAAGAATTGTAGAGGTTGGAAATGCCGGCACTGCTCATACAAGCTTTGTTTGTCAAATACAGTTCAACAAAAAATCATGCACTTGGTTACAACTTTCCAGGAACCACTGGCAAAAAGCCGTGAGGTGTTCAAAATCCCCTGGTCTGAGTTGATGAACTGTTCTGGTCCTGTATGGCTTGAATATTTGTGTTTTCAAAATCCTCCTAACGTTAGTTCTTGGTAGGCATGTTGATATTTTCAAATTTTGCGATGACGTTTTTGATGTTTTCTGTATTCTGAAGAACAATAAAATTAGCTTTTTTATTTATGAAGACACACTGAATGCAGAGAGATATCTCCAAATATTAAGGACGACTGTAATCGATTGAAAATTTGTCTTTAGAGGAATATAGGTATTCGTGGTTTCAACTGGACAGAGCGCCAGCTCATTCCACCCAGGAAGTTTCCAGGAAACTTAACGAACTCTTCGACGATCGTTGGTTTAGGCGTTTAGGGCCGTGGGTTTGGCCGCCGAGATCACCCGATCTCACGCCACTTGACTTTTTTCATGGGGTGTTTTGAAAGAAAGGGTATACAGTACTCCAGTGCCTACCAAAGAAGAATTGCGACGGCGAATAGTGCGGAGTATTGAAGATCTGGATCCCCAGGAAATTGAAAAAGAAACCACAAGTCGCGTACAAAAAAACATTTTGAAGTGTTTAGAATGTAATGGACATTTTCAGCATTTATTGTGAAAATGTGATATTGTCTTTACAATTTTGTTATTTTGAATCATCCTATTCTGTTATTGTCTGTACTTTCACATGTTTTAGCCCACAAAATCTTACTTTTTACCCAGAAATGACTGATTTTTGGTACAGTTGTTCCCTGGAAACTTTGAGCTATATTTAAGAAATAAGGTGTTAATTCAGGATACATTTGGTTGAATTTTTTACACGTTCTGACAATGATTTGATCACTTTGTTCATGTGCATAATAAATAATTTCATAAGAACTTCGTTTGAATAATCGATATTTGCATTCATTTTGGAAGATGATTCGAAACACCGTCGATAACTCTTTGTAAATTACTTATAAAAGTAACCGAACTGCTATAAGCTTGATAATTCCACTGTTACCTAAATCCAAATTCTAAAAAAAATAATGTTTCTAGAAGAAGCGACTTTATTGAGAAAACTTGACGATTTAGGTATAGGGACATGATATATCATCTTGAAGCATTTTTCACCACCATCTTTCAATTTACCGAGTAATATACAGGGGGTTTCATTTGAAAAAATGAACTTTTGACTACTTATATGCACAATGGAAATAATAGTAATTTTAGCACGCCCTATATGATATGGAGTCGATTTCTTGGTGTTATTTGAATATTTCAAGTTTGTCCAAACTATCATCTAAATATCAACTTTTCATGAATTGAGAGTACTGATGTACTTAATTTCAATTAAGGCTATGTTTTGGACCATATTTAGCACAATTTATTTTTTATTTCGAAAACAGATATAGGTATAGGACATTATTAACAAAAAAGTATTAAAATACCAGAGCGATTCCAAAAATGTATTAATATACGGGGTGTTCCATTTAAAAAATATAATTGCTAGGACTTTTTGATAGAAAATATTTTAGATCGATAGAACAGGTAATGAATTGTGAGAGGTGAAATTTTCAGAAAAATCATGCTTTGCGTTTTCCACCTAACCTACCATCGACTGTGAGTCACGCTGTATAATGTTGTAATTTAGAAGTAACTCTCAGTTATGCTTGAAGAAGCTATTGTATAGCGTAACACGTGTCGTGGTTTTTGTAAAACCCTTATAGTGAAAATCATACAATAAACTCTATTGATTAGTTGTTTTAATATGGATTTTCATCAAGTATCGGCCAGTTTTAAATATTCCATTTTTCATAATTCATCAGTTTTCATCCATCTAGTTTGAAAATAGTAGTTTTCCTTTAAAAGTGTCCAATTTGGCCCACTCTGTACAAGTTTTTAACAGAAGGTCGAGGAAAATGTTGAGAATTTGAAGAAAATAGTTATGGAGAATCGTCGAATCGTTATTAGATAAGTTGCTGGGGATATCGACATATCGGTATTTTTTTTAGATATTTTTTTGGAAAAATGAAAATTCACCTTTTTCTAACAGAGCTTACATATTTATACATATAAATAAAAGCAGGAAAAATTCATGAACGAAGCACTCAGAAAATATACAAACCACAGACACATGGTGACACGTGTTTCTGGCTCGTTAGCTGTCATCAGTATAGTATAGCCAAGAACAAGGTTGGGCAAGATTTGGTTGCTGAAGCTGACAAAGTGCGGCTGGCTTCTGTTGATGACTCCGTGCATTTGCGTTGACAGCACTTGTGTTGATGACAGCTAATTAGCCAGAAACACTTTGAACATGTGTCTGCGATTTTCATATTTTCTGAGTGCTTGTCACCCATAAGTGTGTATGTGTGACTGTGTCTATGCCTGTATTTATAGAGGTTTATCTTTTTCTATGATTTGCCTGTGCACAAATTGAATTTTACGTTTTACTTTATTCAAAAGTTTGATTTTATCGTTCCTACATATTATGAAATGTTATTAATAAACACATCCTTGGGTATAAACAAAGGTGTTTCTGTTCAGAGTTCTTAAGCCACACTTTGTTACTTCCGGACTTCCAAAAACATCCAAAAGCTTAATGTCAAGTACCAATCTCTACAATTTTAGACAGTTTTCGTTTATTCTATGGCCATTTTCTAAGGCATATCCACATTTATTCAGTGTGAAGCTATTTCTGAAAATCCAGTCCAAAATCTTTGTCAATGAGAACCGAATTTTGGAATGAATATAACAATTGAACTCACCTTTCTGGTTTGGTTTGTCGAAGATCGTGACTTAGCACTATACTATCTTCACCAGCACTGAGGATAACATGGGGTTGATCTGGTAGAATAGCTAATTTATGACAAGGCCCTTTGTGGCATCCCAATTTCCTATATTCCCTTACTCCTTCAGAAGATATTCTGGCAACTCTGACCTGAATAAAATGAAATTGCATCACTGATCAGCATTTGATCAACTAGTAAATTTTATTAAATCTAAACAAAGACAATCTCTACGCAAAGTCATATTTATATTCTAGACTGTGCAGCAGTTTGTGTTACTTTAATAGTAATAATAATAATATTTATTCACCATTTGCGATATATAGCGTATACATGTTAAGTCAAAAATGATTATTTAAATAAAATGTTGTGGTTCTCTTCATAAAAGGTCTGTTGGAAAAATTCGTTGCATTTTCATTTTCCTCAAAAAAGTATTAATTTATTAATCAATTACTATTTTGCTCCCTTCGCAGTAGTCTCCCTCAGATATAATACACTGGTGCTAGCATTTTTTTTAATCCAATTTTACTTTATTTTGTTTCTGATTGACTACTCCTATGCATGTTGTGTCAAAAAAAAATATTATTCTTATTACAGCTGCCGGACTCAGTCATGGCCGATGAGAAGCCCCTCCCTCAAAATGTGCAGTAGATGTGTAGAAAGCTGTCATCAGTCTGTTAAATACTCGAGCCGTAAACATCCAATTTCGGACCGTTTTCAGTTAGAGGTGGAGTTTGAAATTAAATTGCATAAACATATTTTAATAGCCAAACTGCACATCTTGAGGGAGGGGCTTCTCAACGGTCATGACTTGAGTCCGGCAGCTGTATATTTACTTAGCAGTGCCTATATTTGCAAAAATATGTCTGTAAATCATTAAGAAAATGATGTTCAATTATGGGAAGTTGTGACAGTTATTTTCATTATTTTAATGTTTGTGAGAAATAAAATGTTACTATTAAAAGACGCCCAAGAACATCATGAACATCTAAGCGTAACTTTCATACCTAGTACGCATGACACCTTTGAACGTCATGTTTTTGAAAAATGTATATCAATAATTTGATGGAATCAGTAGAAGTCCCATGAAAATATAAGTCAGCCACCCGATAAAGTGTGCCAAAATTCATCAGCAAGTAGTTGAGGTGTGAACCAAGAAGGAAATGAGAATAGTTTGTATTTATGAGTTAGGTACATTTCAATTGATACTGGAACGATAATCATTTATAGGAGACTGATCTGCAATAATAATAGAATTCGTTATAATTTATTGTACTGTTTGTAACCTGAGTAATGATATCGAATTAAAGAGGGTTATGGCAAACTAGCTTAAGAGAGGGGGTCAATGAAAATTGCACAGTCACTTGTGATATATTGAGAAAATCAGATCTAGAAGGAATTGAGCTGTTGGGAACATTATAAGTTGATTTTCCAACAAAATAAAATACATCACACTTTTTCAATCTCTACCAGGTGATACACTTTCTCCAATGCACGTTAAATTGTAATTCATAACTAATTACGATGATGATTCATAACTACTACAGCCACTGCAAAAATATAATTTCAAAAATATACCTGGCCATCACGAGCGCAAGAAGCAACATGGAGATCACCACTCAAGTTCAGAAACTTAGTTTGGAAGACATTTACTCTATGTTTGGAATCATACTTCAACAAGTACTTTCCCACTTTCCAGTCCCAGATTATGACCTTCTGGTCATCAGACCCGCTGGCTAAATATTTGCCTTCGGGGTGAAAATTTATACTATTAACACAGCCTTCATGCTCCTCTAATTTATCCATCAGTTCTAGTTTTTCAACACTATATAAGGAACCGTAACAACGCCTTTGAAATAAACTAGAACTCTGTAATTTCGCACTGAATCCTATTTGTCTATTTATCACTTCTGGTATGACGAACCAATTGTGTTTCGGTTTTTCTTTTTCCAACACAGAATATTCCTCATCGTCTACATCTGAATCGTCTGTATCTTCTGGAAAAAGTTCATCACAAAGTTGGAGAAGGTTTCCTTCAGGTGGCTCAGAATCCTCGTCCTGCATCCCAGAGTCTTCAGCCTCACCACTGTAACATTCAGAAAGTCAATGTCGGTGACAAATGACCAATGAACAATTAAAAAAGTGAAATGAGCAGCTCACATTTTTCATAATAGCAAATTCCCAAGTCTGTCTCTATTCGATCTACCCATAACCCTTGCTCTCCTGCATTTGCAGAATTATTTCCAACAGTTCTCAATGATATTTTCGGAGACGCTTAGAATGATTATGTATGTTGTTTGTATATACCGCTATTGTTTATTATGTATATTTGTTTAAAAATATTTACACTGTCTTGTAAATTGATGTATTTCTGTTAGAGAATAACGCTCTTAGTATTATTAATAATACAAAATCATGTGCTACACTCCGGCAGTAAAATACACAAAAATATTCCAAACAAGATTGCAAAAAGGATACCTTCTATCTTCCATTAGTTCATCACTGTCCAATCGAGCTCGATAGTTGCGATTCCTAGAATTCGTAGGTCTATTGAAACCACTATCTGTACCAGAACTGGTTGTGTTCACCCTTTCCTGTTGTGTAGTATTACTGGATGAACTAGACGATTCTTCCGCATAGTTCCCTTCGGTTTTCAATCTTTTTTTCTTATCCGGAGTGTTGAACGGTTTTTCTCTTTTACCTTCATCATCAGACATATTTTCATCCATTATTCACCAGGAATTCTAAAAATATATTTACTTGATTGCGCTGAGCAAATTCAATTTGCTCGAGAGCGAATTTCCATACTGTAAAATGTACCACAACAGATTATTAATACAACTTATCTAGATGTATTTTTGAAAAAATAAACAAACCATTTACTACTGAATTGGAAGGAAGGAACTAAGTAAATTACAAGTTGCAAGAACGAACATTGTCCGTGGTTTTTAGATTTGTTGACTTTTGACACAGAATAGTAAAAAAAAATATTCTTCTCTTTCTTCCTTAATTTAATGGGCTCGGCTTACACAAGTCAGAGCTGTGTGACCAGCTTTCTTCCCATTGTGTAATATGCACTAAAGAAACATTGTTCTGGGAGTGCAGAAGTCTTGTTTCATACAATAATGTTTCGCAATTTCATACATTGCTTGCACGTCATCCTATAGGCGGACATACACAACCTATTAAAACTCTCACTATACAAATATATAGGTATTGTTTGCTTGCACGTGTTATGGCGGGGTAAAATTCCGTTTTCTCGGCGATGAGAACAACCTCTACACCCACTTCTACGAGGAAACGGAAAACCAGTAAAGAATTTTGAAATAGAAACATTGCTTATTATTCTGTAATACAACAGAAAAAGTACTAAGTCGAGGTAAAAACTATTATCTTTTTTAAGGATCTCAAAAGGTTAGAATGAGTACCACCATAGATGAGGTCGTCAGAGAGCACTAGAGGGCGAGAGGTTACGATGACAGTTCAACATATAAACATCTATTCAAGTGCTTGAGAGATGAATGTTTGATTTTAGCTTGATTTAGAAATTTCAAGTTCATTTTGCGAGACTTAGGCATACACATTGGTAGTTAATAACATGCCCCCTAATTGCTCAAGACATCCTTAATTCATAAGTACATAATAATAAAATAAATATCAAAGTTTATCTTTACACCACTGTTGACTGAGTAATTCCGTTTCAAGTTCAATTTTAATTATTTTTGTGTAACTTGCTGTCGATTGATGGGGTCATGATTAGTACAATCGTTTAATATTACAGAATTCATAGCTCCTGCTATGATAGATACGCTGAATCATTTTCATGTTATTTTTTATATTTGCCTACAGTCCATAATCATTGTTGAATTTGTGTTCTTTATCACAAAACACAAAAAAACTTTTTGAGTAATCCTTCGTTATTGAAAGAATATGACAAATGACAGCAGAGAAAAACTATTTACATTGAATGTACCGTACAAGTTATGACCAATTGACCAGTTGTCCTGCTCAAAGCTATATTACTCTTTTCAGCTTTTAATATTCATCCATTGTTTATATACTTTATAGACTTGACTACCTCGTCGATATCCGCCTTGGTTACCGGCGTAGAGGGCCCTCAGTTCTTTCAATTCATATTGAACTTATAATTTCATCAGATTGTTCAATTGATTATTTCACTATGCACATGTTCTTGCAGACTTCATTTCGACCACGATATTCGCGTGTCTTATTCGAGGCTAGTCAACTTTCTGTGACCTATATTCTATTGGATGTGTTCAATGTCATTTTTCAGCAGTTTGTAACTGAAGAAAATCTTTTGTTTATGATCTTTACATCTTCGTGAATTGTTTTTGTTGATATATTCAATTACTTTCTTTGGAAATTGCAAACTTTCTGAATAATGATGGAGAAGTAGAACATTTTTCCTAGAGAAATGGATTAATGTATTTAAGTTGTAAGTCATAACTTTTAGGTCGTGGGAATTTAGGTTTTCTATTCGTTATAACTGAAAACTTACTTTTTCAGCTTTTAATATTCATCCATTGTTTATATCCTTTATAGATTTGACGACCTCGTCGAATTCGTCGATACCCGGCTTGATTACCGGCGTAGAGGGCCTTCAGTTCTTTCAATTCATGTTCAATTGATAATTTCATCAGATTGTTCAATTGGTTATTTCATTTGCAGACTTCATTTCGACCACGACATTTCCGTGTCATATTCGAGGCTAGTCAACTTTCAGTGACCTTTCTGAATAATGATGGAGAAGTAGAAAGCCAAAACATTTTAATGTTTTCAAGTTAAAAGTCAGAACTTTTAGGTCGTGGGAATTTAGGTTTTCTATTCGTTATTACTGAAAACTTATGATTGGTGTATCGATGATTTGATATTTATAACTATTTAGGGGAACTGGTGCTTGAATTCAGAATATCTTATCTTCAAAAAACTTCTAAGTTTCGTATAAAATACTGGGATTTTTTATTTCAGGTTGTTGAAAGGTCGTTTTTGAAAAATGTAAAGAATCGGAATGAAGAAACTAAAAAAATATTATTTCGATGTTTTTTCACTGCACATTTCTAAAGTTCAGATGTTTTTAGTTCAGCTTTTATAATTCGATATTTGAATAAGTATAACACCAGAATTGATTTATTCTCGCACATATTAATGACAACGGAATACTGTTCCAAGTTGAAGAGATTCAAACTGTTTAACAAAGTGTCGGGAAACATTAAAAACCTTGGATTTTCGATGATATATGGAACAGATTTTGCTTGATAACGCTTTTCACACTATCGATGAATATTTCACGACAAAGTTCAGTTCAATTTGATATCTTTCTTTGTGAGTTATTTCACAATTAAAATAATCGTTAACATAATTTTGAAGAATGTGACCGACCTTGAATTCTAGACTTGAGTGTAATGACTTTTCAATGCATTTATTATATGTTTCATCATGTAGATCCTCATACCTTTTAGATCACTTCAAGAACCATTGAATAATATTTGAACGTGATATAGGAGAATGAAAAACAGTTTATGAATTCATTTCTTTAATGAAAATAATGTACATGTTATTGCCTAGACCACAGTTGTATATGTTACACTTCTGAATAGGGTCTTATACATTTTCGAAATCGTTTTTCACTTCACTAATACTTACATCGATCTATATATAACTGATTTTACCATTACATTTATTGTACAAAAAGTCGTAAACCAATTTGGAGTGCAACTGGATTCAAGAAACCTTCAGTTTTCTGGCCATAGTTGTTAACCTCTAACACATATACTACACACATATACCTACAGGACTAATGTTCTATGGAGTGTTTAAAAACTTCAGACCGAATTAAAATCATTAGTTGGGATATTATCGTTCCAAGATAATGTATCTTACACTAATTCACATTGATATGACTTGGATATCTGAAATGTTCACAGGCTGAAAAGATAACTTTAAAATACTATACAGCTAAAGAATTACGATATGTTGATCACTTTCAGAAGATTAGCCTTTGAACATTCCCCTAAGTCCAGTTGGTGTAATACTTGCCAAACCTAGCTCGAGCTAGATATGGCAGTAAAGAACAACTGACTTTTGAACGTTTATATGTATTACAAAATACCAAATCAGCTGCATACGAATACCGGCAAAGAGATGTAGGTATTCGTATCCAAACTTTTACTAATTGAACCATAGCAGTTATGGAAAATTCCTTTCAAGTGATATGATTCAAATAGTTTCATTATTTTGAAAACAACAGTATTAGGTAAATATATGTGTGTAAAACTTAAAAAAACTAGACCCTATTCTTCCCAATATTCAGGTCTTCAAACAGAAAAGACGCCGTCAGTCTATTGTGATTTGAAACTTCGCGGTATTAAATAAAATATTGGAAAATTGTGGTACTCTACGAGCAATTTCAATAATGATATCAACAATGATTATTTCTTATTAGGAACTTTAAACATTTCTATATTGGTCCTCGTAGAAAAAAGAACCGCTAAATTCAATATATACACTGACACGAAGAGTTGATCATATACACCAGATGCTAAACGGATATCTACCTAGAATGCTAATATATTTACCTTCATAACATGTATTTATCTACAAATTGTACACGACTAGCAAGTGACAGTCATTCAAATAGATAATAATATGAGACCCTGCTTAACGAGTGAATGTCATCTGCTAATATCTCAACAATTCTTTTAACAACTCACGAAAAAGAATAGCAACCGATAATTTTCATATTTACAGTATAGCTGTACACCTCAAACGTTAAAATATAATAGCTATGAAACAAAATGCGACAACCTTAAGTCTAAGCTATATGGACATAAGTATATTTGGCATAAATAAATAACAAAAACAGTCAGCAGAATAACTTTAAAAACACGCAGTCCTGCAACGCCAATGGTTTGAAATTAAATCGAAGTGGAAGACAGGCGACAAAATAGAGTGCTGCCTTTGTATAAATGAGGAGAATTACTTGATCCAAGTAAATGATTATGTTGACACTGAGATCCAATGTGTAGTGAACTGACAAACAGCAGTTTCCTCACATTTTTGGCATGTTTTATTTCTGAACAGTCGTCGATTGTGGTACAACCACAATCTGGAAACAGTATACGTTGAAATTATTCAATATCATTGCACGAATACGCCCACTATTCCAAATAGTGGTCCGCAAAAAAGTTCAGTTGGGGTCATTCTTGTTTGACCATCACATTCGGATTATAACTATGGCCGCTGGATGTCACCAGAGATAGAGGACTAGTCGCTAAACTGTTAGCGATGTGAAACATGCCACCGTTGCTGTTGCCGACAGAGCATGGTGATCCCATGCTGGCTGTAGGAGGATTTATTCGTTTTTCCTTCTGCCTCCTGTTGCAAAACCACACTCGGACTACCTCCTTTTCCATACAGAGGTTATCCGCCAGCATTGTGATCTCCTCTGAAGTTGGCTTCGGGTTCTGCATGAAGGCCTTTTCCAGAGCTACTCTGACACTTGTTTCGATGGATGTTCTTTTCTTCCTTCTCCTGCCAATAGTTTCTGGCGTTGTTAGGGGGTTGCTAAGAGCACCAGGATTGCTCAACGTACTGTCAGCATCCTCTAGCCATTTTTGTAACAAAGGCTTCAGCTTGCACATGTTTTTGAAGCTTAGGTTGAGCGCCTCAAATCGGGATATCGTTGTTTGGGAGAAGTCGTTGCCGTACAATTTTCCCATGGCCAATCCAACGTCTCCTTGGGTGAATCCTGGAAGGAAAAATATCAATATGTAGTAAATTCATTCATGAATTCATTACATTCAAGAAAGAAACATTTTCAATTTTCTACAAAATGGGGTGTCATAGCAGCCTGAGAAGATTGGCTAGGCATGTGCGCATCAGTGACAGAAAGTTTATATATTTTTTAACATTGCTTATATTTATTGCAGAACTTCCTTGAAGTATTTTTAATGGACACCGATAATAATTGGAGTGAGACGAACTTAAAAAACAAACGATATCTACAAACGAATACGAATATCTACAAACAAACGAATAATCTACATTTGAACACTCTTCAAAGAAAATTGGCGAAACATCTGAACTTTGTTATAGTTCATTTCGTATTGACGCCCATTTGTATGATTGAACCCGCGTTCGATAAAGTACAAGAAATGTGAACTTCTGAATCTTTGTTTCTTTGGAAAGTAGATGATTTACCAAGAGAAAGTAGATGATTTACCAAGACACTCTCAGCTAAAGAACTGAAATTCAGATAGTGTCAAATCGAATATCTTATCTTTTAAATTGCATGATATTCTTAACAAAACTATTTAGACGACTATGAAACAAAGTAAAAGAAAAAGTCATAGTCTGTTAAAACTCATCTTTGGATGGATATTATTGGAGGTATTCGTAGTTGAATACGAAAAAAAAGAATGAAAAATGTATTGTTCAATACAGGGAACAACGGTATGTCGATGATGACAACAAAAATACTGTCTCTACGCATGTAGAGAGACAGTATTTTTGTTCTGGCGTAGAAAAAGTGTTTTTAATAGATGATAGATTTGTTAAGATTCATCAACACTTTACCTAAAGCAATTATTTTCAGAATCCCAGTTGAGTTCAAGTTTTGCAGAGAACTCGATAGCCCTGGATGAGTTCATGCAAAGCCAATGCGATCTCTAGACGCTGGTGAAGTTTAAGCGTTTGATATGTGAAAAAAGAGGAACAATCCTTATTAACATTAGTTAGTTTGAACTCCTGTGTTTCGTTTAGTCCCTCGAAAAAACGTTATGATCTGTATTTTAATCTTGTCAAGTTCTGAATTATAGAAATGATGAAACTGGCCAACAATAACAAAATAACAAATTAAACAGGTTTTCGCCATTTCGGTTTGTTTTCATTTCGAACTATAACTGCAGAAGGGCCACAGACATTGATATTATTTGTACATAATTCACACTTACATCTGTTAATTGACAAATTCACAGTTATAATTGTAAATTATGACCAGCGTGTCTGTAGACGGCGAACTTAACGCGTTTACACTTTGCCCTCAGCAAAACAGATGTCAGCAAGTTACATTTCTTGTAGATTTATAACAAATATAATTCTCAATGAAACGAAATTTAACCTTAACATTCGTGGCTGGATATATGTCTTCGGACGCACCCAATTAAACGAAAATCCAGGAATAACCTAACCTCACTAATGCAACTACAACTCAAAACAATATGTGATGCATTGCAATTGTTTTGGGAATGTTATGTACTACTAATTGAACTCAGCTTTACCTTTCATTAACAATTTTTGCGTGACAAATTTGATAAAAGTGTAACGTGCTGACATCTATTGTGAAGAGTGCAAAATTCAAATGTAAGGAATTCGCTACATGGAGCGTTATAAATGTGTATCTGTCAATTTACAAATGTATTTGTCAATTTACGCTTATTTACAGCTGTAAATGAAAAGGAGTCTGAAAACTTATCTATTTTCATGGCCAAAGGTATACCGGTGAATTTAAAAACTTACCGAGTTTTATCCTTCTTTGCTTGAAGGTTTTCGCGAACTGTTCGAGCTCTTCTAAATCGGTAGTTTCTTCGGGAGATGGTTCCATGAGCCGTGAAGGGTTTTTTAGGTGCTGCGGCGTTAGTCCCCCCGAACTGGGCGTACTGGGAGTGAGTATACTGGCTGGTATGTGGTGGGTGTTGTTTGGAGGTGTCGTTTGTGTTTGAGGTAGGGGTGCGTTTTGGGTAATGCTGGTGTTGTGTTGGCTAGTATTTTGTTGTACTTTCTGCAGCTGCTGTAATTGCTGAGCAGCCATTTGCTGTACCTGGAAAATAGGAAATACGATGTTACTATTATTGTCAATCTAGTAATTCTTGAATTACATCAAGTTTTTTTTTATTTTGAGCAGGTGTTGGATGTAATAACAGTACTTTGAAAAAGTGTGATACTTTAAATACTATTTGAAAGAAAGGAAGTCATTTTTGTGGAGAAAATCAGAGTTTTTCTAAGAATATTTATGGGAACATTTATGGGACAACATTACTCGTACATAATTGTAGAAAGGGCAAACTTCTAGCTTTTCAATTTTCAAGTGTATTATTGACGGTTGATAGAGATGCAATTGTCGGGTGTTGTGGTGAATTTCCGATTTGAGGTGTAAGATGTAGCAGTGGAATTCAAAGTTAATATTTTTCAGAAATAAACACTTAGGTAAGACAAAAACGTGACACATAACATACATGCAGGTGGACGAATACTAAAACATGGTTATCATATGTCAACACACCTGCATTGAATGGGGGGGTCTCGATGGTAGACCCGATCTTGGAAAACCCTGTAGGAAACCCTTGAAAGAAAAATAAAATCGTGAGTACTGCAAATTGAGGTGAAATTCGTTTTGTGAATTTTGTTCGATTACATAATCATTAGAAGTGAATTTTCTTTTCTTAAAACATTTTTGAGCATATGGATAGATATTATCGCTGAGACTAGATTGTGTTAAATCCGATTATTGATGCGAGTTGAATTATTTTGGGGCCTCTCAAAAAATCGTTTTGATATTCAAAGTGATACACTGAAATTTTTTTATTCAAGATCATTATGACCATCATTATCGTCTGAATCTATTATCATCAGATGATTTGATTATCTTCAACCAACAATGATCTTGACTGTTATTGGAAATACACTGATAAGACTAAAATTAGTAACTGGGTAGATTTGAGAAAGCCTGGAAAGTTTGGCAACATTGACTATCTAATATAACCGAAACACCGCTGTCTAATTTGATATTTGTTACATCCATGGAGTAGTGAAATTTAATATTTCGAGCATTAAACTCAAGGAAAACATTGATTAGCACCCTTGAGTAACGTTTTACCGAACATTAAGGTATTCGTTATTATATATTTTTATTGTAATACATAAACATGAAAGTCAGTTTCCCCTAATGACTAGTAGATCCAAAATCAGAAGGTATTGTACACTGATACATTAGAAAAGCCCAGCTTTCCCCAAGATTAAAACGTATCGAAGAAATGGGAAACCTAAAATCGGTGAACCAATTACCACATTTATGTATGTTTTCCTAGTGAGGACACTTATCATTATGATTAAGATCATTCAAGACCTCCTCACCGATAAATAAGTAATTAAGTTATTGACTCCTGTACATCTGCACATACACCATTTATCAAGATCATTGATTGGAGATACCAGACATAATCTAATTCATGGCAGGAGGATTTTGAGGAATAATTTTATTGCCAAATCTTCTACGTCACACAATATCACATGATTGACCTATAAAACTGCTTCATCCCGTCGATCACTCCAGTATCATCTTTCAAATAATGTATTAGTTTCACTAACATTCCTTTCTCAACAAAGTACTCAATATTCGCAGAAATTTCAACACTAAAAGACATTTATCTTTTTCTTAGTTTTTCCTGAGTTTTGCAGCGCAACCTCGCGGCAATGGCCCCTTCGAGTATATGCTCACTTTATTCAAAAAGTGATCATCCCTCTATACGATTTATTTCCTCAATATTTTTTTGTTGATGATCCGATATATAAAAAACTCACCTGATTTTGAAACAGAAACTGAGCCTGTTGGTTTATTTGATTTCCGCTCGCTTGTTGCAGCATGGCCAACTGCTGCAATTGCTGTAGATTTTGCGGCCTTTGGAAGGCCGAAAGGCTGCCTAACATCTGCAGATGATTACCGAAAATCCCTCCTAGACCACCTAACGCTGCCAGGGCTGCTCCTACCCCAGGACTCGAACTAGAGACTTGTGATTGCGAATTTGGCGTTAATATCCTTGGTTGTTCGTTTGTTGCGGTCACCTGAAAATAAAAAAATAGGATTTAGAACCATTTGAACATTCCTACACAGAAGAATCTGATAAATGTTGTATAGTGATATTCATATCTTGTTGATTTTTAATGTGTCTACAATGTGTTGATTTTTCTCATGGTTTCTATTTGTGACGTATTATATACCTATCATGTTTGTGAACCAAAATTATTGAATGAATATCATTATTTTTTGCATGTGGAGGAAATTATTAGAATTCAAGTTGAAATCGAGTGATACATCAATTATTTGAAAGAATAAAAATACATGCGTTCCCTAATTTTCATTCAATGAAGTGAATTGACAGTTACTACAAAAAACAATTGGCAGAACTGAATAATAATACTCCTTTGTGAAAATTGTTATGAGTTTAATGTTCTGTGGTTAATTATGTCAATAGGGTATGAAATAGGATCGTTTCAGAAAGACCGATAGAGAGAAAGATAGATGTACAGGGATAATTTGAAAGTCAGAGACATATTTACACAGCTCCACAACATTCATAATTCATCCATAAATAATAATAATTCTTACCAGATTGAATCAGGACAACCAAGAACCCCAGAACATGAAAAAATTTGAAATTAAAATGATCGAAATGGGATGTAGGTAATATTAGATAAGATAAAAATTGAAGTCCTTACAAGAGAATGAGATTATATCCATCACTGATTAAAGAACGGACTTTCACACCTCTTATTTATTGGTTAAAATCTTCTCAGCTGATAATTTACGAAATTTGAACGACCAGAAAGCAAGTTATCGATGGAACATACTTATAAATCTATCTATTCTTCAATCTCCAGAAAGCATGACAGTTCGTTCGCAAGATTTATTCTTAATTTATCTAATAATTGTTTTGTGGTTTATTCGTTAATAGTATCATGGAGGAAACCAGACGAATCGTCTGTGGTTCATACTCATTAATAGTACCATTGTATTTTGCTCGCACTAATAGCGACAGATCCGTTTCATAAGGACAAAACATGTTTTTTGCATTTACGTTGAATCGATGAAGTGGATTGTACATTATGATTTGAATCATAACCAACAAAAGAGTAGGTTGTCATCAGCATTTTTTCGGTATCTTGATTCAATAAATGTTTCTAGTGTGCTTTAATTTCAAACATAAAATATATCATAGTTCTCGTGAAGCGAGTCGAAAATAAATTCAAATATAGAATTCCAAATGATTATATTCAAATTTTCATCTCCTAAATGAATGGTCTCCACTATCTGTTGGAAAGGTTATCAAAATTGTTATTGACTAGCAACCTCACATGACCTTTTAGCTGTGCCAGGGCAGAAATGGTGGCTCAAAGCATTTTCGTTCCCTTCAATCCAAAATTGAAATTTAAATAAAAACAGCTTCTTTGATTCTAAATGTAACCAACAATTAAAAATATTAATTTCGATGCGCTTGCGCTTTCATTAAAATCATATTCTATAAATCCCTCACTTGACTGATGTGTTCTCAATCTTCAATCGGTATTGTCAAATGTCGTCGTCGTCTATCAAAATAAAGAAGAAGATTGACAGTTTACATTTTAGGTGTGATCCAAATGACTTGATTTTAAATGTCAAATACTCTGCGATCACTTCATACAAAGTCAATGAACCTCATATACAAGATATATTATACACAGAGGATTTTTTCTATGATGAACTTGAGAAATACAAGGTGATTCCAAATGGTTTGCAATATCAAATTGGGACTGAAGCAATTTCTCCTTTCGATGCCACTAGATGAGCTTCATTAGCAACAAAACTACACAACACCTCTTCCAAAGTTTTTCCAGTAAAAAAGTCAGAAGGTAGTTCACTTTTGATGCTCACTGTATGAGTATATGTTGAAATACATCATATGACTCGAATATAGACGTGACTATCGAATTTCATTAGTGAAATTGTAATGGAGTGTTGATGACGTGCAAATTTCATTTACAGAGCTTAATGGTTGCTCGTATACCCACTCTTTGACCAATTACCGCGGTTAATTTAACAACTAATTATATTCATGGCGCTCAAACTGTCAGAAAACTGAGTGTGTTCCACAAAATGAATGTACTCGCTTTGGCAATCATCTTCGAATGCTTTTCAAGAGCTCGCAGTTGAAATCATTACTCTTTTGTTTCGGACATATAGATTTCAAAAATAGTTTCTTTTCCCAAGAAGTATTCTGATTGCAAACACCAAGTCATGACTTCTAGAAGAAAGAAGAAAAACAAAGCGGGCTTCAGAAACAAGTCAAAGGATACAAAGGTTCATTATTAGATCTTTTACCCAACACAAAAATTGTCAGCGGCGAACAATTTTTGAATGAGTAATGTTGACTAAAGTGTTTGTGTGAAGGTATCCATGTTTTCCAGGTGAATATTCGTTTTGAGGGCACCCGGCGATTTTGAAAAAATTTTTGAGTGTACTTACGTGTTTTGATGCCTAGATTACGAATCCGATAGAAAAAAAGCGACGCTCTCCCTTATTTACAAAGTTACGGCCTTTCAAAGTTCAGAAAAGGGCAACTTTTCAGCCTTCTTTATCACAAGATAAACTATTTAAAAACACCAGAATATATTCGATAGGTCACCTTTACATTTCATTCCTCGTTGATTGACACTTTTCAATTCAACAATCAACATTTTTCCAATAGAAATGTTAAAATATAGGAATATTGACAGCTTCAGTCGTACCAACTATGACATTAACCTTAAAAACGTAAAATACAGATATGTAACCAAACAGCCGTTCCGTACATTTTTTAACATTTTCATTGGAAAAATGTTGATTGTTGAAGTGAAAAGTGTCAAGGAAGGAGGAATAATGTGTAAAGGTGACCTAGTGAATGAATTCTTGTATTTTTCAATAGTTTATCTTATGAAAAAGAAGGCTGAAAAGTTGTTGCCCTTTTCTGAACTATGAAGGGCCGTAACTTTGTAAATAAGGGAGAGCGCCGCTTTTTTTCTTTCGGATTCGTAATCTAGGCATCAAAAAAAGTAAGTACACGCTTTTATCACAATCTACATATAGCAGGTACGTTATTTGTGGAAGTTTCTATTATTTGAAAAACTTTAGAATGTAGTTCATTATTATTCTATTTAGCAGCAAACATGATACGGAACAAAGAGCTGCTCCCGCATTGTGGGACACTAAAATTGCCGCTACATGTTGCCAACATTTTGTTGGCTGACAGGAAACATAGTATAATTCTCAACGAACCAATATATCGTGAGATATTCATGTTTTAATCACTGGAACTGTTTACTCTTATTGAAAAAAGTAAGCTACTAAATTCAGAGAATCTTCAAGTAGTATTCATTAGTAAAAAGATATGACGACTCGAAATTCGAAAACTTGCCATAAAAATCATTTATTTTATCTGATTAATTACAACTATATGAAGAAAACGTTTACAAGAATAAACATTTCAGTTGAAACTTTAGAACATTTCAAATTTTCAAGTATAAAATTTATAGCTTTCTTCATCATTTCCAATATTATTGATATCAAGAATAAAACATTTTCAGTTTTCAGTTTTCATAGGAAGAAATAAAACACATTATGAAACAGTGATTTTAAATCACTATTTCGAAATTTCTTGTAGAAGGAGTAATTTCTTGACAGGTTCAGATTGCAAATGAAAAATGCCGAAAATAAATTTTGAGATGACTTCTTAACTCCTCGCTACAAAGACACAATCTCATTTTCCAAAATTTGCTTTTCGAGAGAATTTTTAAAATTTGAAAGACTGACGATTCTGAACAAAATAAATGAAAATAGAACCGTTTGAACTTGTGACTTTGGCAAATAACCTCTAAGTAATCAATATATTGGTTGAGATTCAAGAAAAACTAACTCTACTAATATCTAAAAGGGGCTAAGTTAATGTAACGATTCTGAAGCCGCCCCTGACCAATATGCCGGCCGACTCAGCGACCAAACACATGACATCATCGCGAAAGAATGTAGTCGGGATTCGCATTCGCACGTCTTCCCGACCCAAGAGGGCAGTTCAGAAAGTGAATCGTGCGGCTAAACAAGAAAATCAAATAGTGGAAATAAATTAAGCGTTAGTTGCTAAGTGTTGTAATAAATTAATAAC